CGGGTGCCACCCGTGTCGTCATTGCTGCCGTCCGTGTGTCGGGCGTTCCTGGCGTGTCGTCAGCACTGAGGTCTCGGGAGCCGCGGTGTCGGGGATCCCGACCCCCGCCGCGTCTCGGAGGATGACCGCGGGCTCTGCTCGTGGCAAAGATTCGGCCTGGTGTCTCGTCTACGAGCGCGGGACTGACACGATTTGGCCGAACAAGCTACGGCATTCGTACCTACGACGTGGCAGTCGACGTGGCGCCACGCGGCTCCCGTGCTCGCCCACCCGCCTGTTCTGCGGCGATCAAATGGATTACGCCCGAGTATCTTGAATATCTTTAGCTGTCCCGTGCTACGGGTTTGTTTCACGTCCTGGTCCAGCCTGATCACTCTGCCGCTGGCCCGTCCGTCTCGTGGTGAGACCGTACGCCTGGCGCCATCCTGGCCGCGTTTGCACCGTGCCGCTTGTTCGTGCGTGGTTGGGTTTGCTGCTCTGTCGAGAGCTTTGTGCAAACAGCGCACGTGGATCGCTGTTCTGGCGAGGCCTATATGAGCGTACCCTGCGTCCAGCCCTGCTCTGGGCACCTTGTTCCTCCGCAGTGATGATCCCGGTTGCGGGTCTGTGGCTGCCGTGTCAGCTGGGATGGAGTCCCAGCGCCGCTCTGTCCTGCAGGGGTGGCCAGGCCAGAGAAGATGGGAGTCGCCGCAGGTGCTGTAACAAGCGCCCGGGAGGTGCAGGGCGGTGAAGTTAAAGTCGGGACTCGCTCTGGAAGAAGCTAGGCGAGGGGCTAGGACCAGCCCACGCAGGAAGCAAGGCAGTGACCCCTCCAGGACAGCTGCTTGCCCCAGTGTGGGTCAGTCAGTCAGTCTGCGTCTCAGTCCCTGTTCTCTCACCCTGTTGACACACCAGCTTCAAGAGCAGGACATGGACCCATGGCTGAAAGCTGCAGCCGCGCAGGTTTAGGTTGGATCTTAGGAAACGCTTCTTTGCTGCCCGAGCAGGGCGGCCACATGGGAGACACCAGCGCTGGGGGGCTCTGCAGCACAGGAGGGTCCAAGGAGAGGCTGGGCAGGTGCTGGGCAGGAGGATCGAGGCTCCCCGATGCCTGCAACCCCCTGATAGCAGCAGGACGTTGGTGGCCATGGCTGCCCTGCTTTCCCAGGGGCAGGGGTGATGTCTGGGGCTGTGTCGGGGGTGACTGTCATGCAGCTCTGAGTTCACACGCAACGTTTGTCTGGGCGGGTTTGGACGGGGCTGATCCTGCTTTGGGCTGGATGTGACCCCGCAGCTCCCTACTGGCCTTACAGCTCAAGAATTTAGCATCCTTCCTCCATCCATGCCCATGTCGCATGCCCTAGCTATGGACATTGCAACCACCTGCCCCAGCACGTTGCCGTGCCCCAGGACACTGTTGCTTGGGACCAGCCATGCAGTAGCCTTCTCACTTCTCTCCTATGGGAGGCGAGTGACATTTCACACTGTGCTTCCTTTGGTTCTTCAGCCCCAGTCTCCTGGATCAGTGTCCCCGTAGCACTATTGGTACCCCTCGTTGTCAGGCTGTCTCCCCACATTGCTGAGGCCCAAGGTGCTGGCTGGGGCCCTGAAGAGTGGGTGGGTGGGGGTCTGCCAGGAGCTTCTGGAGAAAGTGCACTAATTATCCCTGGGTTTGAAAGCCCCTTTTCCTGGCTGGGAGCTGCCTCAACAGCCCAGACAGAACTCCTGTTTCCCTCGCGTTCACCTTGATCCAAGTGGAGCTGGCCTGGCCTGTCCTCTCTGGCTGCAGTGTGTGTGTAAACCCGCTTGCCAGGGACACCTGAGCCAGGGAGCCGTGTCCCTTTGTCCCGTGCTAATTGGTTTGGCTAATCGGTCTGGCTGTCACAACAGCACAGATCTGCCTCTGGGTGCGAGCGGGGTCACCAGCCCTGTTGGCCTCCCGCTGCGGCTCAGGTTCCCTCTGCCGCAGGCTGGCTGCAGCGCAACCTGATAGGACTCGATGTTCCCGGGACCTCAGTGTTCCTGCTACGAGGCTGAGCAGGAAGCGAACTCCTGTCCGTCTCCTCCACGTGCCCCGTGGCAGGAGGGGGCACGGCATCTGCCGTCCTCCGTCAGCCATGCCCACGGGGGTGTGGAAATGCTGCATTGTGCAGCATGACCCGCTGGGCCTGGCTTCTCGAGCAGGTGTGTGGAACGGGCTGGCTTCGTGCTCACCTCTGTTGTAGGTGTGTTGCAGTTCCTGCCCCCATAGCAGGGCCACTTGAGCAGGGGTGGGCAGTCCTGGCCAGGCCCTGCGGGTCCTGCTGGGCTTGACAGAGAGCTCTTTCCAGACATGGGCATACAGCGCCTTGCTGGGAGCCCTCACAGGCTGGCAGTTGAATGAGTCCCCAGCGCATGCCCACAGCAACTTGTGGGCACCTAGTGCCATGGCCGTCGAGGTCATTCAGGGTGGCAGGAGCTGCTCTGTGCTGCATGCCCCTGGTCAGGCTTGGCACCTGGTCAGGAGTGTCCCATTGAGTCAGCATGAGCAGGCGTTGGCCTGCATTGTCTTTTCAGTGCTGGCAGCTTCTTGCTCTGTGTGTATGTGCGGCTCCCCTGACCCTTCCTTGGCAGTGTCCTCTTCCCAGCAGGGGCCACAGCTGGCTGGGCACAGGGCTCTTCTCATGGGTAGCATAGCTGGTCGCTCTGGGGCTAGCAAAGTCCGTGCCTCTTCCACTTGCTGGGCATTGCAGCAGGGTGGGGAGTGGACACACCCAGTGATGGGGTTTTTGGTTTGCAGGGACGCCCAGCCTCACGGGCACACAGCGCCTATGGCACATGGCATGCACCAGGGGCTATAGGTAGCATCAGAGCCATGTTGTAGTCACAGTGTCCCAGGGAACACGCCAGAGGCAGGGACTTCTGTGGGGCTACATCTCTCATGGGCCCGGCTTCCTGGGCAGCAGAGACCTAGACAGCCCTCCAAATGTGGGGCCTCTCTTGTTGGTCTCAGGCTCTGGGCAGGCTCAGGGTTGGAGGGCAGAAATGAGCCAGGCACCAGGGCTGGGACAGGAGGGCTGTTTTGGAGGCTGGCTCACGCCCCGCTCAGCCCTTGCCTGGCTACCTGCACCCGGCAGGGACCTGCCCCTGGGATGTTCACCATGTCTGTTCCTGTCTCCATGGCCGCCTCCTTCCTCCCGGCTGGCTCCACGCTGGGGGCATGGGGCTGCCCTCCAAAGGAAGGAGAGCATTGGCGGGGGTTTCCAGCAGATCGAGCCCTGCCCTGCTCTCCAACTCCGGCTGGGCATGCTCTAACCTGGCGTCTCTGCTCTGTGTCCTTCCTGCAGGCTGCCAGACCCGCTGAGGATGCCGCAGTGAGGGGGTGCCTGCTGCCCCCCCGCCTGCCGTGCTATGGCCGCACATGGCCTCAGCTGGGCCGCAGCACTATAGCTGTAGCGCCGGGCTCACGCTCAGCGCCCCGCAGCCGGCCTGCGAGAGCCGGGCCTGGCCCCCGGTCCCGCAGCACATCAAGCCCATCTGGAGGCTGGAGAGGAAGCATGTGAGGGCTCCACCGGTCCCCAGCCTGCTCCACCCGGGGCCCCCCGGCGTCCCCCCCCTGCCTGTGCCATGCCCTGGTGACGCTGCCCACTCTGGCCTGCCCCTGCCCTTCCCCAGCTCCCCAGGGAGCACGCTGCTCTACCGCCGATCCTACGCCCGGCAGAGACCCTACCAGCGGCTTGAGTCCATCTGTCTACGCTCGAGCACTCTCAAGCGCTGGTCGGTCCCTCTCCCTCCCCAGGGCCCCCCAGCCAGCAACTTCGCCCAGGGCCCTGGCATGCTGTCAGCTGCCCCAGAGCTGGCCCCGCTGCCGCGGGCGCCTAAAGACCGCCCCCCTTCACCTAAAGGCTCCCCTCTGGGCTCGGGGCAGCCAGCTCCCGGTCCCTACAGACCCGTGCTGAACAACAATGCCTTCCTGCGGCCAAGCAGTGCCCGAGTGCCTTCGCCCCCATCCCCCGAGAGCAAGAGAGGGAAGAGTTCCCTGCGGCCGCTCGCCATGTCCTGGGCCCGCACTGGGGGCACCGGAGACAGCTCCGCTGCAGGCCTTGAGAACAGACCCATGAAGGGGCCCCAGCTGGCTGTCCTGGCCCGCCGGCCCCCCGGCCCTGAGGGCCCAGCCTCATGGTGCCTGGAAGACGCGGAGAGTCGGCTGCGGAGCCTGAAGACCAGGGAGCGCAAGATCCAGCTGACGGAGGCTGTAAGGCAGCTGAGGGGGATGGAGAGCCCCTGCCAAGACTACAGCTGGCACCTCGACGCTGTCTGTCCAGCTGCCAGCGGCCTCTGCTGCGATGTACTCCCTGTGGCCGGGCGCTGGAGACCGCACCTCCTCGCCCAGCTGAGCCCCCAGGCTGCCCTGGCCCCCCAGAGCTCTGAGCCGAGGCGTGGCAGCCTCCCTGGGGGCCGGAGCCCTCCCAGTGCCGGTGCCTGCACAAAGCGCGTCAGCGTTCAGCTCCTGGCCCCCAGCACCAAAGCGCCCGCCCCTCCGTCCTGTCGTGGGCTGGACCTCCTGTCGCTGAGCGATGGGGACACAGCTAGGCCCATGCACCTCACCGCTGTCTCCAGAGTCGCTGCCCAGATCCCCACCGTCCAGCTAGACGAGGACAAGTGCAAGGCCATGGGCATGCCGAGGGTATCCCCGCAGCTCCCGGAGTAAGTGTTGGGGGAAGGGGCCTCTCCGCCGTTCCCCGCAGGGTGAGGGCTGGTAACTCGGCTACCCTTGGGGGTGTCAGTCTCTGCTCCAAGTTTCCCCTCTCGGGGGCAGGTCCGAACATGGGTGGCAAGGGGAAGCAGGACCCACGGGAAACCATGGTTCTCTCTCACCTCCCACTCTGTGTTCCAGCACTGCCCCCAGTGAGCCTGAGGATGAGGCAGAAGAGGAGCTTCCTGATGGGCTGGATGATGAGAGCCAGGATGGGGAGGAGGAAGAGGAGGACGGTGAGATGGTGGGGCAGGGTGCAGAGGGGGACACTGAAATGGCAGCACCCACAGAATTATGTGCACAGAGTCACAGAGTGGCCAGGCTGGCCAGGCCCCTGCTCTGGGCAGGACCAGGCCAGCGTGTGTCCCTCCTGCTCTGGAAAATTCCTGAGGATCATAGAGTCCTGCAGCCACGAGGCCAGCAGGGAGCTGCGGGGTCGCATCCAGTCTTGAGGCAGGAGCATCCAAACCATTCCAGACAAACCCCATGTGTGACCTCAGAGCTGCATGACACTGTCGCCCCCCAACACAGCCCCGGGCATTGCCCCCACCCCTGCCTCCAGGAGAGCAGAGGGGCCGCAGCCACCAATGTCCTGCTGCTGCCAGGGGACTTGGTCCCGGGTGGGGCGGGGGCCCCCAGCCACCAATGTCCTGCTGCTGCCAGGGGACTTGGTGAGTGCTGGAGAGAGCCTAGGCCCAGGCTGTGCTCCCATTGCAGAGGGAAGAGAAACCCCCCAGGCTGAGCATGGAGCAAGTCCCTGCCTGACCCCCACCAGTGCAGTGTGGGGAGTAGGGGGGCAAGAATCTCCAGCCAGGACCCTACAGGGCTAAGTCCTGGCAGGAGCATTGGCACAGCTCAGGCACAACCCCAGCCTGGGCTGCAACCAGCACCCAGAATCCCTGGGGGGGGGCTTCAGCCCTTGACGTTGTGGGGGGGAGTCAGCTAGTACAGCCCAGCAGCCGAGGACCCCCCCAACCCCAGCAGAGTACAGGCATTGCTGCACTTTGATCCTCCCTGCCTGGCGCCCATCCAGCCTCTCCTCAGACCCTCCCTTGCTGCAAAGTACCCCAGCCCTGGCGTCTCCCCGTGGCCTCCTTGCTCGGACAGTGAAGAAGTGGTTCCTGAGACCTGATGGACGGAAATTCCCCCCATGTTAGAGGGAGGGGGCTCTTCCTAATCTCCACCCTCCATCTCCCCCACTACAGTCTCAGTCCCTCATTCCATGTCCTATCTCCTGCAGCCACAGAGAAGTCTGTCCCCTTCCTCCATGCACCTCCCATCAGGGAGCTGCAGTCTGGGGTCACCTCCATGCAGCTGGCCTGGCTTGTGGTGAGCAGGCACACAGACATGCTCCCATCCCCGCGTGTGTGAGACAAGTGAGGTGATAGCGCCTGGCCAGGACTCAGCTGAACACTGTGAACAGTGCTGGGTGCCAGAAGGGAGCGGAGGGTTGCCTGGACTGGCTTGGGCAGGGCTGGTGGTTTGGAAGAGGAGACCAGGCCTCGTCCAGCCTGGTGATTCCAGCTGCACAAAGACATGTTGAAGTCCCTGGGCCTGGGGGTGCCCGAGCACCTGTGGACTTTCAGGCATCACATGAGGGTCTCATGGAGCCCTTGGGGTATGTTCCAGGTGGCTGGTCCTGGGCAGCGGGGAGGGAGCGAGGGCACCACCTTTCTTCCTGCTGTCCCAGGCCCCCTGGGAGGCAGCAGCTGGAGCCTGGAAACCTAATGCTGTCTTTTGTCTCTGGCAGGCGAGTCAGACAGCTCCTCTGTCATGGGCCTGTCACCCAGCGGGTCGGTGGCGCTCATATCCAGGTAAGTTGCTGGGCAGGTGACATCCCCCGGGCAACTGGGCCCCTCTGGGACCTGGGGTCTTTGGGCTGCAGCCAGCTGCACCTGGCGCTCAGACCAAGCTCCGTCATCCCAGGCACTGAGGCAGCCTGGGCCTGAATGGCCTGCCGGGTCTCCAGCTCCAAAGGCAGGGGCAAGTGCTGGCCTCCGTGCTCGGGGTCACGGGTGCGCATTGGCTGCAGCTCTGGTCAGCCAGGCTCTAGCACCCTTGTGGGAACACCCAGAGCTGCCCCATGATGCTCCCCTGAGGACAGGGACACATGGAGCATGTGCTGGGCGAGTACATGGGCTTTACCCCTCAGCAAGCATGGGGCAGGCGCATCCCCAGCCTGGCGCTAGGAGCTCTGTCCCAGGACACTGGAGAGCAAGAGGGAACCATGTACCCCCCTCCAGCTAGCCAGGTGGTGCGATAGGGCCTACTGGGGGTGGGCGGGAGGAGCCTGCTGGGGGTCTGCTGAGTGCAGCCCTGGGGTAGTTGTGTCGTGTGTCTGCACTTTAATGGGCCTTTTGTCCCCAGCTGCTGTGAGCCTAGGGTGGGCAGGCCACGGAGGGGGCTCTCTCTGAGGGGGTCCTGCGGGGTAGCACTGCCCCTGGTGGGGCGTGAGAGGTGTGTAGCTGTGGGTGTTTGTATGTGCAGATGTGTTTGTCCACAAGCGTGTATGCAAGGGGCATGTGGGTGTGTACATGTAGGTGTGGGGGTGTACATGTGCAAGCATGTACATGGGGTATGGGTGTGTATGTGCGGGTGCACGTGTGTGTGTGTGTGTGTGTGTGTGGTTGTATACACGTGTGGGTGTGGGCATGTACATGTGTGTGTGGGTGTATATGTGCAGGTGTAGCTGTAAACATAAGTTTGTGTGTACATGTGAGTGTACATGTGGGTGTGAGTGCATGCAAACATATAGATGTGTATATTCGGGTATGGGTGTGTACACATGCAGGCAGGTGCCTGTATCCCTATGCACATGCTGGTGTGTATGTGCAGGGTACAAGCATGTAGGTGTAAACGTGTGTACAGCTGGGGGTGAGTGTGCATACATGTAGATGTGGGTGTGTACGTGTGGGTGCATATGTGTGTATGTATGTGGGTAGAAGCATGTACATGCGCGGGTGTGTAATGTGCATGTGTTGGGTGTGGGTGTACTTGTAGGTGCATGTGTGTACACGTGGGTACGTTGCTGCATACATGCAGGTGTGGGTGTGTACGTGTGCATGTGTGGCCCCGGGGCAGCCATGGCCCCTCGTTGCCGACAGCCAAACATCCTTGGGGGCCAGCCTGGCGGTCTCTGACCTTGGGGCCCTGCCACGTCCCTACACCCGTGAGCACAGCCCATGGGCGATGTGCGCAACCCCCACACCCACTCGCTTCTCGCAGAGCTGTGGGGCTCCCTGGCTTGGGGCTGTGGCAGGCGGGTGCCAGGCAAGCGGCTCTCATGCCTCGTCGCCCTCCCCACAGAAGCTGCCAGGAGGGCCTGGCACAGCAGGTGGAGGCCCAGGAGCGGGTGCTCAGACCAGCCCTCTTGGGCAGCCTCTTCCCCAACATGCCCCCCACCATCTACTTCGGGACCTGCGACGAGAGAGGTAAAGAAAGGGGGCAGCTGGAATCCGGGCTCTGAGGGCTCCTTTCCCCCTTGTCCCCATCCCTCCCAGGCAGTCGGGGCCCCTTCGTGCCCTGAAAGGAACCAACTAAAGTCACCGTCTGCCCCCTTCCATGCTGGGACGCCTGCCCTGGGCCCAGGCGAGGCCATGCCACCGATGAGGACCATGCCACAGCCCCGGCCTCTTGGGGCATTGGCTGCTCACGGGAGAGACGGGGCAAAGAAGCATTTCCACCCAACCTGCCTGGCTGCCTGGTGGGGGATCAGGCTGACCCTATGGGAGGACAGGAGATGCTGGGCACTGGCTGTATGGAGGCAGAGGCAGCTGGTGCCCACTCATGTGTGCCACCCTCTTGTAGCCCTGTGTGGTGGGATCCTAGAGACGGGCTTTCCTGGGGCTCAGACTGGGTCACCACTCAGCTGGCAGGCTCCTTCCCCCTCACAGCTGTCCTAGGGTTGCCAGGGCCCAGTCAGGCTCTCCATCTCCCTCACGCCCTTTGCCACCTCTTCCCCCCGCCAGTGGAGAAGCTGCCCTGGGAACAGCGGCGCCTGCTGCGGTGGAAGATGAGTTCAGTCACCCCCAATGTCGTGAAGCAGACAGTCGCCCGCTCACACTTCAGAGTCAGCAGAAGTGAGTCTGCCTGAGCTGCGGTGCCTTGTTGGGCTCCCGTCGCCCTGCCCAGACCCTGTGGGGCTTGAGCCAGGGTCTCGCTGCCCTGGGGCAAAGGTGCTGGTGGCCAGCAGCCCCCAAGCAGGTTGAGCCAGGCATAGAGCAGCTGGGCCCAGGGGGCTGTCCCCAAAGGCTGCTGCGCCATTCACAGCAGCTTGAACTATCCCAAAAGGAAGGCTCCAGGCCCGGACTGCCTGAGCCAGCATCTTTACGGGTGTCAGTACCTGTAGCACACCCCCCCCTCTCTCCAGCACAGCTGGAGCTGGGTCGTGTGAGTGTGCAGGGAGCTGGGAGGGCCTGGGGAGCCCTCATGCCTGCTTTGGGAGGGTGATTCTCGGCTCAGCTCCGGGGCTGGGGGGAGCCATAGTTTTGAACTCCCCCATCCCAGCCTGACCAGGACACTTGAGGCACCCCTGGGTGAATGGGGTGGTAATGGCTAGTGCCCAGGGCATGCTAGGCACTCTTGGGGAAGCAGCCACAGTCGCCTTGGCAGCATCTGCTGTGCTGCAGGGTTCACATCGCACCGGGGCCCAGCGCCCACTCGGGCCGTCTGGGGATGGGAGCTGGAGGGGGCTGCGGAGCCACGTGCTCTGGGCTCTCTGAGCTGGTGAGGGCTGGGGCTCCCACACCTCCTCATTCCCCTCAGGGAACAGCGACTGGCTGGGCTGCTGGGGCCACCACATGAAGTCTCCAGCCTTCCGCATCATCAAGGAGCACCAGAAGGTAAGGAGAGCCGGGGGGTGCCCATGGTGGGAGGTAGCAGGGCTGGTGCCTCGGGGTAGTCACGTACTGCTCTGTGGCACTGGGGAGCCCCATGGGACTTGTGGCTTGGCCTGTGTGGGCTCTTTCTACAGCCCTGGCACCCCCAGGCCCCCACCAGGGCTGCAGGGTGGTGGGAGGGACCACAAGGAACCTGGGAGCTTGTTCCAGCATGAGCTGCCCCCCTCACCCTTGATGGTGACACTTCCAAACGTGCTTAGACTCAGGTCTGAGTCTGGTTAGCAGAAGTGATGGCTTCCCTCACCATTGCCATCTCCCCACCCCTGTCTGTCCGGTCTCCCCGGGCAGAGCCCAGAGCTTGGCTGCCAGGCAAACCCCTTGGCTTGGCTCTGACTGTAGGCGTGTGGGGCACTGCACCTCCCCCAGAGGCACTGGGCACTGGCTGCAGCCCAGGCTGGGGCTGTGCCAATGCTCCTGCTGGGACTCAGCCCCGCAGGGTCCTGGCTACAGGCTCTTGTCCCCCACTCACGCTGCCTGGAGGGGGAGGGAAGGCAGGCAGGCAGGGATTTACCCCCTGCTCAGTGTGGCCCGGGTGAGGGGGTTCCCTTCCATTTGCAGTGAGGGCATGGCCTGGGCCTGGGCTCTCCAGTACCCTCCAACCCCCCTGGCAGCAGCAGGATGTTGTCAGCCACGGCTCCCTGCTTTCCCAGGGGTGGGGATGATGCCCAGGGCTGTCAGGGGCAACGGTGTCGTGCGGCTCCGAGGTTGCTCACCTCCCCCCAAATTTTGGTGTCATCAGCGAATTTAAACAGGTTGCTCTCCACCCCAACATCAAGATCGCTTGATGGGTTGGACTGGGCGGATCCTGCGTCAGGCTGGATGTGACCCCACACCTCCCTGCCGGCCCCACAGCTCTGGGACTCTACGATTTGACAATGGACCCTGCCCCAGGCATACTTAGCCCTGCCAGTACGGTGCCGTGGCCATACAGGCAAAGCCAGCCTCTCCGCAGTGGTGGCCTGTCCCTGCCTGGGACTAGGAGGCCAGGGGTGGCTGCCTCAGCTCACTTGATCCTTCTTCCAGATCAACCACTTCCCCGGCTCATTCCAAATCGGGCGCAAGGACCGGCTGTGGCGGAACCTGGCCAAGATGCAGACACGCTGCGGCAAGCGGGACTTCAACTTCTTCCCCCAGTCCTTCATTCTGCCCCAGGACATCCGGGGGCTGCGCCAGGCCTGGGAGGAGGGTGGCACCCGCCAGAAGTGGATCGTGAAGCCGGTGCGCTGTGGGGCGGGGTTCAATGGGGAGCACAGGGCAGCTGGTGGGGCTCAGGGCTCGAGACTGGGCCAGGTAGCCTGGGCCTGGGCATTTGTGGGGGCTGGCTCCAGGGAGTTTGGGGGGATATTGGAGCATCGGACCTAGTACCAAGACACTGGTAGGGAACCTAATCCCCTCTCCTGTGTGCGACCCCTTTTCCAGCCGGCGTCGGCAAGAGGCATCGGCATCCAGGTCGTCCACAAATGGAGCCAGCTGCCCAAGCGCCGGCCGCTGCTGGTGCAGAGGTGAGTGGACGTGGGGGGGCGGGCGGGCAGGCAGGCTGCCCCTCTCCCTTGCAGGCCAGGTTGCCCCTCATAGGCTGCCCAGGAGCAAAGGTCCTACCCAGGGAAATAACCCAGTTCTGAAAACCCTTTTGTGCCCCACGTCAGAACAGAGGTGCCAAGTGCCTTATAATAGGAGTGGGTTGGGGACAAGGTGGTAGCGTATTGATAGGCAAGTGAGTAGAGTAGGTGTCCCCAGCAACGCCCAAGGGGGGCACTGGGATGGAGCTGGGAGACCCCAGCTGCCTCCTTGCAACAGGGAAGGCAGAGCCAATGTCCTGCTGCTGCCAGTAAGGTTGGTGAGCATTGGAGAGAGCCCAGGCCCTGGCCGTGCCTCTGCTACAGAGGGAGGGGAAACCCCACCGACCAAGCTGAGCAGGGGGCAAATCCCTGCCTGCCCCGCAAAGGCAGCATGACCAGGAGGCAAGAGCCTGTAGCCAGGACCTTGCATGGCTGAGTCCCAGCAGGAGCATTGGCACAGCTGGGCACAACCCCAGACTTGGCTGCAGCCAGCACCTGGTGCCCTGGATCCCTGGGAAGGGGCAGTGACCTGGGCTAGGACGAGTCTGTCTCGGGACACAGGAGCCTTCCTCTGGGCTGCGTGCTGAGGCTGGACGAGGCACTTCCAAGCCTCCCCATGTTATCCCCCAACCTAGCACCCATGGTGCCCTGGGCCAGGCCGCCTAGGGGGGCGTGGGGTTTCCATCCCTGGAAGCTTAGGAGTGTTGGTTGGGCCGGGCTGGTTTGGACCAGAGCTGCGGGCATGGGGGGCCTGGGTGCAACTCGGGAGCCTGGACCCTCACAGCCATGCCCCTCCCCACCCTCATGCCCCCCTCGTTGCCTGCAGGTACCTGCATAAGCCCTACCTCATTGGAGGCAGCAAATTCGACCTGCGCATCTATGTCTACGTCACGTGCTATGACCCGCTGCGCATTTACCTCTTCAGGGATGGGCTTGTGCGCTTTGCCAGCTGCAAGTAAGTCTTTGGGGGCAGCTCAGGGCGGGTACAGGCCAGCCATGCTGCTATCTGGGCACGGTAGGGGGCTGATGTTGTGGCGGGGCACCAGTCTTCTCTGTAGCAGAGTAGTCTGGTGCTCCCAGGGCGGAGGTTAAGACAGAGCCCCCTCCCTGGCACTGTCTGGGCACCCCATTACCCACATGCTGATCCCTGTCTACCCCCCTGCTCCCGGCCCAGGTACTCATCCTCTATGAAGAGCCTCGGCAACAAGTTCATGCACCTGACCAACTACAGCGTGAACAAGAAGAACACAGAGTACAAGGCCAATGCCGACGAGACCGCCTGCCAGGGCCACAAGTGGTAAGGCCGGGGCTGGCTCCTCTCTATCGCTGGGGGGGAGAGGGGGGTTCCTGCCCGGGCTCTACCACCGCAGAGCTCCAAGCACTTTCCAGAAGCAGCCCAATGTTGTCCCATGTCCGGCAAGGAAACTGAGACATGGGCAGGGCCAGTGGCAGAGCTAAGGATGGTATTTGCCAGACAGCTCTGCCCCTGCCAAGCTGCCCTCTGCTCTGGCAACCTCAGGTGCTGGGATGCACCAGGCACAGCTGCCGGTGACCTGGGTATCCGAGTTATCCCTGTTGCTGCTCCCAGGAACTGGGCCAGGCCTCACCGTGCTCAGCGCTGTCCTTTCCAAGGATGATTCTGCCCAGAGTTACCCCTGGCTGCCCACAGGTGCAGGGTGGTGATGAGGGGCCAGGACATGCCTGGGTCATAGTCACATCTGGGCCAGGCAGGCTGCAGGTCCCCCCTCTGGCTCCATGGGACCTGCAGGGTACGGAGCAGCTGACACCGCTGCCCATGCTGGGGGTTGCGTGTGGGGAGGCCCTGCCCTTCCCTACCCCCTTCCTGCCATAATGCTGTTACACAGCGCTGTCCGATCCTTCTGATTCCTGTGCGGGACCTGGGAGCAGTGGTGACCTCCTGTCCCATGCAGTCCTGGCTGGTTGTGTGGGAGGTTCACTGTCCCGGGGGGGTCTGGGGACAGAGCTATCTATCCCAGCCCACCCTGGCTGCTGCAGCACTGGCTGTCCGTCGTAGAGAAGTCTGGCCACAGAAGAGCACGCTCTGTGACTCTGCCCACTGTGGCTCCCTTCCCCTCCCTGTATGCACCTGGGGTGGGGAGGGGGGCGGGCAGGCACCTAGTGCTGTGACCTCCCGGTATCTGGCTCCCCCAGGGCACTGAAAGCACTTTGGAGCTACCTGAGCCAGAAGGGGGTGAACAGCGAGGCCATCTGGGAGAAGATCAAGGACATTGTCGTCAAGACCATCATCGCGTGAGTCTCAGGGGTCCCCCTGCCAGCTTCCCTAGTATTGCCACAGCCCTGAGCTGTCCTGTTCCCTGGTCATGTAGTGACAGCAGCTGCTGGGCTTGGCCGTCACCTGCAGCCTGGGTGGAGTCGGTGTCCAGCAAGCTGGGGTGGGATGGACAGATGTGTGCTCCTAACCCAGGATAACTTCCAGGTGTGACTCCTGGCCAGAGCTGGGGGCAGAATGTTCCCAGCATGGGTCACAGCAGCATAGTGGGCTGGCATCTGCGGCCATCCTAGTGCCTTGACCCCTGTCCCCAGCCACCCTGTGATAGCTGCCCCTTGCATGAGCTTCTCCTGCATTACCTATGACTGTTATCAGAGCTGGGGGGGGGTTACCCCAGGGCAGAGGGGTCTGGGGCCATCTGTCCTGTCTCCTGGGACTCGGGTCCAAGCGGGGGGGTCCTAGGCAGCTCGTGTCCATATGCTCTGCCCAAGATCCTTTCTGCACCCCTATCCTCCCCCCCTCCCCCGCACTTATCCAGCACTGGCTGTGCCTGATGTCTGGGCCACAGGGATCTAGGTTTAGCCCCAGGGGGTCCGGGAACTTTGTCCCCTTCCCATGGTGATGGCTGTGAGGTGCCCAGGCCTCCGCTTGGGCACCCTCTGAGGCCTGGCTGAGCATCTGCCCTCACCTAGGCCTCAGGACCCTGGTCTCAGGCTGGAGCATGCCCTGTGGGGCCAGGACAAGAATGGCAGGGCTCCAGTGCTGTGGAGGCCTGTTCTCAAAGGCCAGTTTCCCTTGCCAAAGGCCCCCACAGATCCCACCAAGGCTTGGCTAGGGCAGGTCACTTGGGACCTGAGTTCAGGTTCATAGAGCCACAGGGTCAGCAGGGAGCTGTGGGGTCACATCCAGCCCGAGGCAGGATCAGCCCCAGACAAACCCCATGTGCAACCTTGGAGCTGCACGACACAGTCGTCCCTGACACAGCCCCAGGCGTCGCCCCTGCCCCTGGGATACATGGGGCTGTGGCCGTCAATGTCCTGGGAGTTGGTGGGCGCTGGAGAGATCCCAGGCCCAGGCTGTGCCCCAGCTGCAGGAGGAGGGAAAATTCCCCAGGCCGGGCCATGCTGAGCAGGGGGCAAATCCCTCCCTGCCTGCCTTGCAGCCAAGGCAGCCTGAGGCTCTAGCCAGGACCCTGCGGGGCTGAGTCTCGGCACAAGCATTGGCACAACCCGGGCCCAGCATCCAACACCTCTGGGGACAGCTTAAAACCCACCTGACGCATGGAGCTGAGACTCGGGGGGAGCACAACTAGCAAAGATTTGTTCAGCAAGAGTCTGTGCTGCTATGCCCAGGACTGGCCTGTTGGGAGAGCTCTGGGAGCACTTCTGCATGAGGCGTGGCATGGCGTGGCTAGCTGCTGCCCAGCTCCCCAAGCTAGCATGCCTCCCCTTGGCTGGCAGGTCGGAGCCCTACGTGACAAGCCTGGTGAAGATGTACGTGCGGCGCCCGTACTGCTGCCACGAGCTCTTCGGCTTCGATGTCATGCTGGACGAGAACCTCAAGCCCTGGATCCTGGAAGTCAACATCTCCCCAAGGTGGGCACCCGGGGGACCCTCGGCCCTACTGCCCGGCACGTCGGTTTGGGCCCCTCCCTCTCTCTCCCCTACCGAAGCGGGGCACAAAGGCTCCCTGCCCTTTCTCTATTTCAGCGTCTCTGCACGTTCCCCTGGATGAGCTGGTCAACAGCCGGGTGCTCAGCTGTGCTCTTGGCGGGGTAGGGTGGGTGTACTGGGTCCGGGGCCTGCATGAGAGCTGCCCATCATTGTGGGAGGCATTCGCCCTCACAGAGTTCCTCAACTATCACTCCCACAGCCCTTGTGGGTGGGGAGAGGGGCCAGGCACCTCCGGGATCTCCGGCCGCGGCAGACTCATTCCTTCCCTGCTCCCCACAGCCTCCATTCCAACTCGCCGCTGGACATAAACATCAAGG